GCCTATGGACACATAGGCCATTCTGTATGCCTGAATCTTTCGCAGGGAGTGAAATAGAGAGAAGTTTTTCACTTTGGTTCTGATAATTGTATTGCAGGAAACGGACGAGTTGTTAGAAGATATGCTGAAACGATTCCGCCATGATGATTTAGATGTTTGGTTCATCTACGGGCAACATCTGCTGGAAACAAAGCGTGAGCAGAAAGCACGTGAACTGATGAAAAAAGCAGTCAACTGTTTACCTCAAAAATACCGTTAGTCGCAAATCGTTTTCAGTCTTTTCCTAGTTTTTGAAACATTTCGATATGTGCGGAATGGAGCATTTGTTGCAGCTTTTACATATGCTTTTACAGTGTTGTTATTCAAATGTTAGAGGATAGTTCATGTGGTCAGAAAAACTGGGAGAAATTGAAAGAATTCGACGTAAATTTCAGGAGGACTTAATTGACTGACATTTAGCGGTAAAATATGTGAATGAGTCCTTCTAATTTGTTATAACGTAAAATGTCTTTTTAAATTAAGCATCTGGCCGTCCATTAAATTTTTTTAGTTTTTCAAGTTAAAGGGACAAAAGTTAAGTTCTAATAACTAATGGTTTTGGGTGATTTTTGACTTTCAGATGTATCAGTTTTGAGTCGTTTTGCGCAACTGGAATTTAAATATGGCGATTTGGAACAGAGCAAAACAATTTTTGAGAGTATCCTGAACTCGTATCCAAAGAAAACTGATGTTTGGACAGTTTACATTGATTTGCTGATCAAAGCGAACAGAATTGATGATGCAAGGTGGAATTGGTTTTTCATTTATTATTAGAATTGCCTCTAATTCATTGTCTGGTTCTTCAGCTGGCGGTTTTTCCAGTCATTTTGACCAATGGTTCATCCAACGGCTGGAGTTAGCGTGCTGGCAATTCTATGTTTATTTTTATCGGCTTATTTACTGGGATTTTCAGCGCAGTGGTTGTCTGGACAGTTAGATTTTGAGCAATTTTTTCTGGGGGAAAAACGGCATTTACTAGAGTTGGAAGTGTTTGCATAGCTTGGGTAACGGGCAGAGCAACTTAGGAAAGAAGGAGCTGAGGTACTGGGTCAAGCTAGAGGAGCGGGAACAAGAAATAAGCGGTTTTTGAAAATCGAGAGGGGAGACTGGAAAAATATAGGCGACTGCGATAAGAAAGAGATAAAAGCTGTGTTGGAAACTCCTAACGTGAAAATGTTGTTCATTCATTTTGCAGGCAGTTACTTGAACGGGTTACAGCGCTCAAATTATCCACTCATAAAATGCGATTATTTTTCAAAAAATGGATGGATTTGGAGCAAAAATTTGGTACTGAAAAACAGCAGACTACGGTTAGTTTTAAAGCCATAAAAATACTCTGAGAGGATTTTTTTTCAAACTGAACATCATTGTTAATTGATGACAAAAGCTCTGCAGGTTCTGAACATGCCCTGAATTTGAAAAAATTGCGCTTTGGGGGCATGTAGCACTGCTCCCATGATCAGGGTTGTGGGTTCGACTCCGACGATTGGACAGCAAGTTAACTGCACCATCAGTTTGCTTCTAAGCAATTCTTGAAAAAAGATTACTTGGAAAGTTTACCAATGATTGGTTGCTTTTAGTACATGCTTCCGCTTGAGCAGTTTTGGGCACTTTTGTTTCACACAGAAAGTGAGGAAATTTTGGCTTTGAGACACTGCTTTTATGTAGTGAGATCGCAGGGAAGCATTGAGTGTGTGTTTTGATTTATGAAAGAACCTGGTATATGGAAGCATTTCAGTAATATTTGAGGATTTAGGGTAAAAAATCGGGTTTCTTAGTGATCATTTACAGAAAAGAATTGGTCATTACGTGGCAACTTCGTCGCTTAGTATTCATCTTCAAGATATTGTTGAATAAAATTTTACTCGACCAGCTGCTGACTTACCTGATGAATTTTTTAGGTCAAAGAACGAGCCATGGAATATTTGGAGGATATCGCCGGAACACTCACTGAGGCGTAGTTACCGCCAGCTTGTTAGTTTGTCAGTTATCTTGAAAATCCCGTATTGATAATGCGTAAGATTCTGATGATCGTGATGGAATGATGCATTTATGTCTTGGAAGTTCAAACGGAATTGTTTTTCATGTTTGATTTCTCTTTTTTTTCAAATACGGTTGATGAAGTGTGATTTTTTTTCTCCCATTGTTTGTTTACTGATTTAAAAAATTATGCTCGGTAGCGTAATCTTACAAAATTTGGAAACTCCTGAAACGGAGCTCCTTTCTGAAAACAGTTTTAGCTCTGGGAAAGAATCGAACCACTCATTTTCACTGTATCCGAAGGATATCTCATTTTGCGTTGTGTTTAACCAGCGAGCGGCGAGAGAATCAAATTTTTTTTTCGCCACCTCTGAATCTTTTGACATGCTGTTTTGCTGTTATATACAGTTGGCCCTGTGCTACAAGTTGCATTTGTTTGACGTTTATAGTACTTAGCGTTTTGTTAAGGGTCGACAATGAACTCGCTGCATACATCTTTGGAGTTCTTAATTTTTGTCACCTTTTATTTATTTACAGTAATTTTATTAAAATGTTTTTTTTTAAAATAATTTTATCAATTTCTTAATTCTTATTTGGAAATTTTCTCCTCGATTCTCCTTCTTTTTATTTCAAAACCTTTCTATTTTTATGGTACCCAGGACACTTCTGTATTGTTTAAGTTTGTTGTTTTAGCGTAGAGTTTGTCGTTTATGATCTGAGTGAGCGTTTTGCATCTTAGTTGTCTGTATAACTGCATTGCCTCTTGTAGTGTAGTAGTTATCTGTGTAACTGCATTGCATAGTGCTTAAGCACGTTTTTATGCGTTTTTGCCTATATGCAAATTGCAAAAACGCATATTGGGACGACCCTGTCTGTGTAATTTTTATGCGTTTTTGCCCATATGCAAATTGCAAAAACGCATATTGGGACGACCCTGTCTGTGTGTCATGTATGTATGTTCTTTCATGCAAAATTTACCATGATTTGCGGTATTGAGAGCACAAGGTAGGTGTATGTGTGTGTGTATGCTTGTGTGTGCGTATGTGTGTTCGTCTGTCCGGGTATTTCAACTCGGCAACCGTGTGTGTTCGTCTGTCCGGGTATTTCAACTCGGCAACCAAGCAAGTTCCAGCGCCGAGATTTTGCTAATGGGTGCCCCGGCCAAGTGCCACCCCCGAACCGCGGTACCATTCCTCACGCACATCTGGGCCCCGCGTACGAGAGGGGCAAAGTTTTGGCGGGAAAATTGATAACTCGGGAACGGGGAAAGATAGAAGGCTGAAACTTTGGGAATATGTCCCCATACCATGCGCGACCCTCCCATTTTAATATTATCCCCCGCGGACGCCTGGGCGCCGGGTACGGGCCCTTAAAAAAATATGCAGATTTTCTGGCGGGAGAGCGATCTCGGGAACCACACGAGCTAAGAGGCTGAAACTTTGTAGAGATATTGCCTG